GCTGAGTCCACTGTTGTCTTAACATGTAAATTCAGGCAAGTTCCCCACACCCATAGTCTTGAGTCACTTCCAATAGAGCAAGAAATATATAAGATTAAACCATTTATTGAGCCCTTACTATGTGCACTCTGCTAACTACTTCAATGTATTGTTTCATTTCCTCTCAGTAAGTGGTCCACATCCCTCATCCAGGCTGGTTCACTCTTGCCATTATCACCACCTGGTAGTTCAGAGATATCTGCTAGCTACAGTAATACTCCAAGTTCTTCCACTGGGGATTGCAGACTGGGACCCAGTGTCCTCTGGGGTGACCCTGGATGGCGTGTGCAGCCCTCACAGAAAAAGCCTGGAACACAGGTGTGGGTTTGGGCTAAAGGGTTTATTTCCCCCTCTTCTCCACCCTCAATCTTGGCATTAATCTTTGTCCAAAGGTTCAACATTTGCCCCTATCCAAGAATGTTGGATAAACATTGGAAAGTTCCAATGGAACTTGGAAAAGTTGGAAAGTTCCCCCCCTAAGAATGAAGTCGGCCTCCAAATCTTTGCTTAGTGACTGGACCCTGCTGCCATGATCAGGTCTCAGATGGGAACTACTTGCCTGGGTCCCAAGTGCTGACCCACCGAAGTGGCCTCTGTGGCCTCAGTGCCACTTACTGGGATGCTTGATTCCTTACTCGACATTTACCTCTATTTGGGAGCCACTTTGTATTGAACACCTTCCCCCATCAAATGCCCCTCATGTGTCTTCCTTAGATACCCCTCCCACTTTTTAAGCATTTTGTGAGCTAGGGGGTAGTATTTTTAACTGTGATTTCTTATTCATATGTCCTTTGTTTTAAACCCTTAACAAGGAATAATTTGTAATACGGCTTCCCAGTCAAATATGTAATCATGAGCAATTTGCTTTGTAGGAAGTAGGGAATGGCAGGCATCCTCAAATGGAGTTAGAGTAATCCTAATTACTTACATCTGCAGAAGTTGTCACTTTTGGAAGGTGTGTAATTAGCAGCCAGAATGTGTGCTGGAAAACATGTGATTGTTTAAACAGGGTGCAGCCCAGAGACTGCCCAGAGTGGGGCTCTCCCACTGTGTTCATGAGCCCACTCTGGGCTCTCAGGTCACTTGCTGAGGCTCACTGCATGCTTGAATACGAGGTGTGGGGTCAACAGAGCCTACAGTCCTGTTCCACAGGCAAAGCAGGTGTGACTACTTAAAAAAAATTGGACCCCTGTACTTTGTGATTATGAATTTTGTTTTTCTAGTCCAGTGGTTTTCAGCTTTGACTACACATTAGCATCAACACAGAGACTCTTTAAAAATCCTTGTGCCCAAGCTGCACCCAGACCAATTAAGTCCGTTTCTCTAAGGCACCAGTTTTAAAGTTCCTTAGATGATTCCAATGTGCCGCTAAGTTTGAACACCAGTTCTCGACCAATGGTTCTCAAATGTTAGCTGCATCAGAATCACTTGCAGTGCTTGTTAAAACCCACCTCCAGATTCAGTAAGTGTGGGGGAAGGGTGTCCAATAATTTGCACTTCTCATATTTATTCTAAGAATGCTGTCAATGCTCAAAACCATGTTGAATTCCTTTTGGAATTAGAAGAGTTAACTTTTGTTCTGCACCCATGACAGTCATTTGCTAAATGTTTTAGTCATTAGCTCATTTAATCTTATTTTCACAAGACTTCTTACCCTTCAGGTCTCAGAAAAAGTACCGGACCTGAGATGCCTTCTGCCTGCCCTTTATCATGCACCTGCTGCAGCTCCCATCACCTGGTGTGTTTCCTCCTGGGCCCTAACTGCAGTGTGTAATCTTATTTCCTCTCTTTCACTTGCATGCAGAGACCCTACCCAGTGCCCAACATGTGGCAGGAACTCCACAAGCACTTCTTGATTGAATGAATCCACAGAGCAACCATGGGAGAGGTACTATGATGGTCTGTATTTCACACACCAGGACACAGAGATACAAAAAGATTCAGTAACTTGTCTGAAATCATAGTGGAGGAACTGAGGTTTAAACTGTGTCCTGACCATAGCTGGGCTCTCAAACCACTGCAAGAATTGATCATCAGCCTTAAATAAAATAGCAGCCTTCTTTCCCAGCAAAAACCGAATTACTCACCTAAGAATGTCAACTATCTTTGCCTTACTGCCATTTGACTCAAAGCTTTTTCCCCAGGAAAAATAAAAATACAGAATCAAAACCCATGTGGCCAAACTGTAGAAACAGTGGCAATTTCTTTACCATTTCAAAACTCTCCTGTTCATACCAGAAACCTACTTACAATTTTCCAAAACAGGTTAAAGACTTCTACCTCACATAAAATCACATCAAAACTTTTTTTTTTTTTTTAAAGATTTTTATTTATTTATTTGAGACAGAGAGAATGAGAGACAGAGAGCACGAGAGGGAGGAGGGTCAGAGGGAGAAGC